CTACTCGGGAGGCTGAGGCAAGAGAATCACCTAAGCCCAGGAGTTGGAGGTTGCTGTGAGCCATGATGCCATAGTACTCTACTGAGGGCGACAAAGTGAAATTCTGTACCAAAAAAAAAAAAAAAAAAAAAGGCCTGTGTGCATTGTATGCCTCTGAGCACTGTGCTCCCCATACATTTCAGGGTGGATAAGCCAAACTTCCTGTGGCTTAACCACGCTTCTTTCTGCAGGTCTGACAGCAGACCTGTTGCATCCCAGGCTGAAGAGGAAGCAGTTCCCCACTCTGGGAGTTACCCAGGCCCTTACTAGTAGGGTTCCTGCAGAAGCACTTATCGTAGGTAGAACAGGTGAGTCAGAGCCTTTAATAGCCTGGGGAAACTCTCCCTGTCACCAAGGAGCCCAGGTCCTGGCTCCAGGCCAGAGGGCATGGGAGCAACTCAATTCTCTTCCACTTCGTGGCAACCTGGGTGGAGTGGCCAATCCAGGTGCCAGTGTGGCAGAGGCCGTGGGAGTATTCAGACGGGCACACCTACCAACCCAAGGGCGGTGGGCAGGTCACTGGCGTGGCTAGGCCTGTCTGGTCGAGACCCATGAACTGCGCTGGGAGGGTGTGTTAGGCAATTAAGCGAAGTGGGCAACCACTGTGCACACAGCACCAGATTCCCACGCGCTCACTGCTACTTGTTCTTCCTGTCTGGGTAATTTTAGTTTAGCCTTGGTTGTTACTTTCAATAACACTTAGGCTTAAAAAGGAAACTAAAAAGAAACAAAGGAGCAGAGCTGTTCAGAGTTGCCCCCTGGTGCTATGTTGCACAACTGCCCCTCCGTTTGGACTTGGAGGGAAGTTTGGGGATGCATTGAGGATAGCCCCTGGTTGAGAAGGGGATACTGGAGAAATCTCCTCCTGAGACTCTGGGGTGCCACCAGCATTATAGAAACAACAAACGTTTTCATGTGATATATTCATCCTGTGACATGAGGTGGATATGGAACAATCCCATTTACCAAGTTGTTTTGACATTTTTATGATTTGAAACTCCCGTGTTTTCTGCCAATTTTTGTGTAGAAAAGTTGTTCCCTCAGATTCTTAAAGTAGATAACCCATTCTCACATTTTTTTCTTTTAGACAGAGACTCATTCTGTCAACCTGGGTAGGGTGCTGGGGCATTATCCAAGCTCACAGAAACCTCAAACTCTCTGGTCAAATGATCCTCTTGCCTTAGCCTCCAGAATAGCTGGGACTACAGGCATGAGCCACCAAGCCTGGCTTCCATTCTGGCATTTAAGCTGCTGTGATTTGATCCTAGTGCCCTCAAAATCTATCTCTCCCCTCAGTATTCAGTAACAGAAACTCTAAGCTTGTTCATTCAGTTATTCATCCATCCATCCAGTAAACAGTTTTTGGACACTAAATGTCTACCAGTACACAGCTTGAAGCTAGGGATACGGTTTGTGGGGTAGGAAGGGGGCAATCAAAACAAAACCACAATCTGGGGTGAAGGTGTCTGTGGCCTGCTGCATAGGCCCTGGGCCCATCTGAGCCTCAAATGACCACGTCTTGTCTCTCAGTTTCTCTTGAGCATCACGGGAGGAGAAGCCCTGAATTGTTGGACATGTGAGGACGGAGTTAGCTATCAGGGATGAGAGTTGGTAGAGAAATGCCCTATCCTTCCTGTCCTCTAGTAAGACAGTATTTCAATTGTGGTAAAAACACTTAATAGCCAGGTGCGGTGGCTCATGGCTCACGCCTGTATTCCTCGCACTCTGGGAGGCTGTGGCAGGTGGATTGCTTGAGCTCAGGAGTTCTAGATCAGTCTGAACAACAGGGGGACTCCCATCTAAAAATAGAAAAATCAGCCAGGCGTGCCTGTAATCCCAGCTACTGGGGAAGCTGAGGCAGGAGGATTGCCTGAACCCAGGAGTTTGAGGTCGCTGTGAGCCATGATGCTACTGCACTCAACTCAGGGTGACAGAGTGAGACTCTGTTTCAAAAAAACAAAACAAAAAAAGAACACAATATAAAACTGCCCATCTTAACCACATTGAAGTGTACAGCAAGCACAGTAGTTCCAGTGGGACAGAGGTGAGGAGTGTTCCAGGGTTTTTCACGAGCCCCGGCAGGGTTGCACACCAGTTGTCAACGGTGGCAGCCGCTCCTAAAGGCACCATTCATTGGCTTTCCTCCTGTCCAGGCTCACCTTTCCTGCTCTTTTGTTTGTGATTTCTGGGGTCATGTCCCAAAAAACCTCCTGCACCCAAAGTTCTTGTGCCAGTGTTTGTTTTTGGAGGATCGTAAACTGGGACAGTAGAGATGTCAACAGGGGTTCTGGGAGCATAAAGGAGTGGACCCCGACGCAGATCGGTGGATCATAAAAGTTTCACCAAACAAAAAGCTGTGAACCAAGCCAGAAGTGAAGCCTGAGTTGGTCAGGGACAGAAGAGCAGAGAGAGGTTGGATTCCGGGGACCTGTGGGTGTGAGAAAGTGGAGGTCGGACACGGTTCGGAGTGGCCGGTCAGCGGTAGGCAGGGTACTTCCACCGTGTGAGTGTCGTCCAGTCTGCAGGGTCCGATCTTCTACGCAGGCGGGCGGGGGTTGGGGGTGGGGTGGGGGGTGTGGGGGGTTGTGCACGCCTTATTCCCTCCTGGACCAAGTCCTTTCTCACTTTCAAAAGGAAAAAAAGACCCCACCTGATATTGGCAATATTTTAGCAACTGTGTAAGAACCTTTCAGCAAATGTAAAAACAAAACCACGTTCCCACCCTAAAGAGACCGTGCATAAGGCATTAGTCCGTCCCTTAGTCAGGCAGTAAATATTGTCGCGGCCCCTAGTGTGCTGCAATTGGTGCGAAGTCTGCAGGAGGCGGGGTGGAGGAGACTTTCCCATGGGGGATGGGGTGGGGACGCCTCTGTGCCTGTTGCAAGTGGACATTTGCTTAAACATGAGCCACAGGGTTGATACCAAGTAGAGAAGTAGTCAGTTGAACAGAGGGGAAGTGGCTCTACTCTTTCCTCTCTCCCTCCCCTCCTCCCCACTTTCTCTCTCCCTCTTTCCCTGTCCTTCCTTCCTTTAAAGAAAAGTAGCTTTATTTTCTGATTCAGGTACCCACAAAGGTAGAGGTAATTTTTTTCTTTTGTGTGTATCATTTTGAACAGGTGAGAGATACGCCTTCTTAGTGCTCAGAAGAGAACAAAGGTTAACTTGGAAATAGGCTCCCTCCTAGGCCAGGTCTCCTCTCCAAAGGCAGCCCTCAGGATGAGTTAGTTATCTTTGGAAGATATACAGCTGATTATATTTGTCTTTTTTTTTTTTTTTGGGCAGTTTTTTGGCCGGGGCTGGTTTGAACCCAGCACCTCCTCCTTTGAGCTATAGGCCCTGCCCAATTATATTTGTCTTTTTTGCTCCATGAAAACAGTAGCATTCTAGCAGAATTTTTTTTTTTTTTGCAGTTTTTGGCCGGGGCTGGGTTTGAACCAGTCACCTCCGGCTTATGGGGCCAGAGCCCTACTCCTTTGAGCCACAGGCGCCACCCAACAGTAGCATTCTATACACTATCCAAACCTTACAGTTTCACCTAAAGATAATTCCTGGAGATCTTTCTGTGCCAGTATCTGCAGTGGTATCATTATGGGAGCTACACCATCATGTATTTGGGGAGCCTATATATAGCTATTTAGGTTGTATACAGCCTTTTGTTATTAGAAACAAAGCTGCAGTGTATATCTTTGTTTACAGACCATCTTGCACACCGTGAGTATATTTGTAGAATGAATTTTTAAAGCTGGAGTTGCTGGGTCAAAAGGATGAGCAACTTTAGTTTTCATAGATATGTAGTATTGCCAATTTGCCCTCTGCAGAGGTTAAACCTGAATGGGCCACTTTCCCCACCCCCTTTTAAACACAACATATTAGATTTCTGTTGCTGCATAGCAAATTACTATAAACTCAGCGGCTTAAAACAACCTCCATTTATGAGCTCACAGTTCTATAGGTCAGAAAGTCTGGCATGGCATGGCTGGGTCCTTTGCTCAGGGCATCACAAGGTTGAAATCAAGGTGTTGCCAGGCTGAGGTCTTGTCTCTGAGGAAATATTTACTTCCAAGCTTGTTTTTGTTGTTGGCAAAATTCAGTTCCTTATGGTTGCAGGACTGAGATCTGCCTCTTCTTGCTGGCTATCAGCCAGGGACCTGCTCTCAGCTCCTACAGTCCCCTCCATCTTCAAGTGAACAGCAGTGCAGTTATTCCTGTGTTTTGGATCTCTGATTTCCCTATCTCCATCCTCTAGGCCAGAGGTTCTCAACCTGTGCGTTGCGACCCCTTTGTAACAATGAAAATATATCGCGGTGACACTTTTCTGTAAGTTCCCATTTTGTCAATAGAATATATAACAACCAGCAGATTTTCTGAGGCTTGATATTAATTTATAAATGTATTTGTTTCTATGAACCTAATAACGGTCAAATCAGCTTCTGTCTAGTCTCTCCAGATTTGATTTTTGGATAATGTCTTTTTGTATTAAAAATAATGATGATAGAAATATTATTCGTAGTGAGAAAAAAAATACATCGTGGCATTAGGAAGGTTGAGAACCACTACCTTAGGTCCAGATTTATTTTATTTATTTATTTATTTTTCTTTTCAGGCAAATGAATACTTTTATTAACATTGTAAGTTTTTTTTTTCTTTTTTAACATGGTAGGGTTTTGACCTCAGATACTTGTCAGGTCTGCTACTCAAATGAATTTACAGCTAGACAATGTATGAACCTTAAAGATGCCTCTTCCGAGTCCAGTTTAGGGTCCAATGTAGACAATTCCATGCTTTCCTCTCCTCAAGGTCTTTTGCAACCATCTCTTCCATTTTATGCCCAGGATCCCTTGAAATGCATCAGGGTATTACATCAACTTGTACAGAACATCAAGATTGCATCCCCCATTCTAAGTCCAAGTGAGATAAAGATGAGTTAGGTTGTCCAAATAAACTCACCAGACAATTACATCAGATAGTGTACCACATAGAATTTAAATTTTGAACAAAATACATCTCTCCTCCTTTGGTCTCACACAGAAATTAAAGTCCCCAAATACAGAAAATACTATTCTCCACCCCTTCTCCAGATTCATCAGGCCTAGCCAGATCAGCCCCATCCACACTTCCAGTTGAAATCTGGTCCTTTCTTCAGCAGCTGTTGCATGGGGTTGTCTTCTAGAATCAACGGAGCTCCTTCAGCACCTCCAGAGCTGGAGAACTCCAACTCTGAGTCTCATGTGTCGCACACAGACCCAAAGTTCCAGGGAGCTATCAGGTCACACAAGAAAGAGCAAAGCACCTCAAAATTTAGAAACAACAACCAAAGCCAAGGAACAATGTGACTGCTGCAAGAGCTTACAATCTAGGCCCTAATTCCTGCATGTGAGAGCATTTCCCAAACAAAAGTTACTTCCCCAAACAAAAACATTAAACAATCAAAAACTCATATTGAGGGAGGTCATCAACCACAGACCATAGCAGAAACGTAGTGTAAGTGAAGGACAGAGCGTAGACAGAGGAAAAAAAGAGAAAACAAAAGGCTCTCTGGTTACAGCTTCTCCAGGGTGTCTGCCAATCTCCATCAGTTGACCAGAATCCATCGGCTGTATACCGCCACGGCTGCTTCACGACGACTTGCCCTTCTCCATCCGCCGGACCAGCTCCACCAACATCTCTGCCATCTCCGCGATCTCCTTCGCCTTCTCTCGGCCTTCTCGCACCTCTTGGCCACCCTGCCCTCGACTCCATCGTTTGGGTTCTGAAGATGATTCAGTGCGCTCTCCTCCGCGGCCTCCACCTGGGTTTTTATTTGGATGAGCATATTGTCCGTCTCCCGCAACTTGCTCCTGTTCCGCATGTACGCCCGCCTGTGCTCGCGGGTGAGAGATGCGATGTCTTCTCGCATCTTGTTGATGAAGGGCAGCAGAAACTGCTAGAAGTCTTCCTCGGGCTGCAGCACCTCCACTTCCTCTGGCTCGGCCAGCTCGACGATGTCCAGGGGCCGCATCTTTTCCTGCTGCTTCGGAACTGCGGTCACGACGTCTGTAGGCCCAGCTGGTTATAATCTGAAGGTCAACTGATTTGGGAACTTAATCACATCTGTGAAATCCCTCCACAGCACCACCTAGATTAGTTTTTGAGTGAATGACTAGGAGAACTGGATGTATCCCAGGCAGTGAGAATTTGGGAGACCATCTTAGAATTCTGCCTCTTATATGTGTTGCTATCAAACACTTTGATTTTTGCTAATATGAGAGATGAAAATGGATTTTTTTTTGAAACAGGGTCTCATTCTGTTGCCCAGGATAGAGTACAGTAGGTTCATCACAGCTCACTGTGACTTCAGACTCTTGGGCTCATGTGATTCTCCTGCTTCAGCCTCCCCAGTAGCTGGGACAACAGGTACATTCCACTATTCCTGGTTAAGGCTAACTTTTCTATTTTTTGAAGAGATGGGGTTTAACTATATTGCTCGGGCAGGTCTCTAACTTATATCCTCAAGTGATCCTCCCGTCTTGGCCTCCCCAAATGCTGGAATTACAGGTGTCAGCCACTGCACATGGTTGAAAATGGAATGTATTGAGTATTTCTCTTATCATGCCTGTGAATCTTTTTTTTTGGAGACAGAGCCTCAAGCTGTCCCCCCTGGGGATTCAAACCCGCCACCTTAGGTATACGTGGCTGGAGCCTTAGCCGGTTGAGCTATAGGCGCCGAGCCTATTCCTGTGAATCTTCACATACTTAAGATCCATTTGCACTTGAGTTTTTTTGGTTAATGATATCTGCACATATTCTTTGCTCCCTTTTCTACTGGGTTCTTGGTCTTTTACTTGCTTTATTAGAAGAGCTCTCCATGTGTATTTTCAGCTTTTTTTTTTTTTTTTTGAGACAGGAGCCTCAAGCTGTCCCCCTGGGTAGAGTGCCGTGGCATCTCAGCTCACAGCAACCTCCAACTCCTGGGCTCAAGCGAGTCTCCTGCCTCCGCCTCCCAAGTAGCTGGAACCACAGGCGCCTGCCACAACGCCCGGCTATTTTTTTGGTTGCAGCCGTCACTGTTGTTTGGTGGGTCCGGGCTGGGGATTCGAACCCGCCACCTTAGGTGTACGTGGCTGGCGCCTTAGCCGGTTGAGCTATAGGCGCCGAGCCTCAGCTTTTTAAAATATTAATTATAAAAGTTTCTGCACAGCTAAGGGTACCCCAACTAAAGTAAACAGATAGCCTTCAGAATAGGAGAAGATATTTGCATGCCATGAGTCTGACCAAGAGCTGATAACTGGAGTCTACAGAGAGTTCAAATTAATCAATAAGAAAAGAGCAAACAACCCCCTTTGTGAGTGGGCAAGAGACTTGAACAGAAACTTCTCTGAAGATGACAGAGAAATGGCCAAAAAACACATGAAAAAAATGCTCATTGTCACTAATTATCAGAGAAATGTAAATCAAAACGACTCTGAGATTTCACCTAACTCCAGTAAGATTAACCCACATCACAAAATCCTGAATCTGCAGATGCTGGCATGGATGCTGAGAGAAGGGAACACTTCTGCACTGCTGGTGGGATTGCAAACTAATACAACTTCTATGGAAAGAAGTATGGAGAATTCTCAAAGAACTAAAAGTAGACCTTCCATTTGATCCTGCAATCCCATTACTAGGTATCTCCCCAGAAGAAACAAAATTGTTTTACTACAAGGACATTTGCACTAGAATGTTTACTGCAGCTCAATTCACAATTGCCAAGATGTGAAAGCAACACAAGTGCCCATCAACTCATGAATGGATGAGCAAACTGTGGTATATGTATTCCACAGAGTACTACTCAGTCATAAGAAAAGATGGAGACTGTACATCTTTTGTGTTTACCTAGATGGAGTTGAAACACATTCTTCTTTGTAAAGTATCACAAGAATGGGGAAAAAAGTATCCAATGTACTGAACACTAATATGAAACCAGTATGTAAACAACTACATGCTCACACCAAAGAAAACACAAGTATGGTCTAGCAAGGGGGAGGAGAGAGAAGAGAAAGGGGAAGGAGGAGGAGGGAGGGCTATTGGCAGGACCTCACCTATGTACACAATGTGAGGGTGTGCAGCACATCCCTGGGTGAAGGGCTCAACTACAACTTGAACTTTAGCTTAGAAGTGAAAACAATGTAACCTAAACATTTATATCCTCATATTAATCTGAAATAAAAAAGAGCTCTTTGTATTAATGATTTTGCTTTATTTATTTTACCTGGAGCCCCACCCTCTTTCTTGCTTCCTGAAACGCCATTCTCTCTTTATGGCCCAGGTCAAACCCACATTGTCCTTAGGGCTGTGCCTGACCACACCAGTGCTTACTCATTAGCCACTCTTGACTCCTTTCTAGAATTGTTCCTTGCTTTGTTTGGCAGTTACTCTTGCTTCCCCAGCAGGGCTGTTGAGCTTCTTTATTGCAGACCTCCAAAGAGATTCACATATAAGACTAAGCATATGCTACGCACAAAACTAGTCTCTGTAAACTGAGAAACCCATACCTTGTACTGGAAGCTAAAGTGTCAGGCTCTATGACCACATTTCCTGTGTTCACCACAAATACCCATCACCATATACCTCTAACACAGTGGTTCTTAACCTTCCTAATGCCCCAGCCCTTTAATACAGTTCCTGTGGGTCACGACCCACAGGTTGAGAACCGCTGCAAACAGCTTTGTCTTTGTAACTTCCATCCATGTTTATAACTTTTAAATGATATTAGAGCATGTTAATGAATAATATACTATATAATCACTCTTTTTTTCTTTTTTGTTTGGTTAGTTCGTTTCTCTTCAGCATTTTTTTCTGGAGATGAGGTCTTGCTATGTTGCCCAAGCTTGTCTTGAACTTTTAAGCTCAAGTGATCTTCTGCCTCAGCCTCCTGAGTAGCTTGGACTATAGGTACAAGCCACCCATGCCCTGCTGGCATGGCTTTATTGGTGAAATTTATCTCCAAATCTATAACATTATTTGATTTAATTTGAAATTAACTTAAAATTTTATCAGAGAATGTGGGTTCATTTTTGAAGGGTCAAGTAGAACTAAGGTTCATAATGAATTGCCTGCCCTGGCCTTCCCTACTTTTTTACTTATCTTCCAAAGCGCACACTTTCAGCCCTTCTCGCTCTTTTTTTTTTTCTGATACAAACAGTATTGCCATATTTCTAATTAATATGCTTAAGTTGCTATGTTCTATTTTTTAAGTCTTTCTTTTTAAGTTTCAGATTAATATGAGGGCATACATGTTTAGGTTACAACATTGTTTTCAATTCTAAGGTAAAGTTCAAGTTGAGCCTGACACCCAGGGGAAGTGCTGAACATCCACACATTGTGCACATTAGGGGAGATCCGGCCAATTGCCCTCTCTCTTCCCTGTTCTATTTTTTAAATTGAGGCCTTATCTGTGACTTCCTGCCACAGTAATGAGGACCTGGCCTTTTCTTTCTTTCTTTCTTTCTTTTTTTTTTATTAAATCATAACTTTGTACATTGATGCATTTATGGGGTTCAGGGCACTGCTTTGATATACAATGTGAAATGTTTACATTGAACTAAGTAACACATCCATCACAATTATACTCATTTCTTAATAGTTTTGAAGTGTACATGACCTGGCCTTTTTTTTTTTTTTTTTTTTTTTTTTGAGA